TTCATAATTTTACATTAACCGCCCGACATTGAATGATTTTTTTTAAATTTGTCAGTTTTAGAGAAGAAATAAATGCTTGAACTTTTAGCTGTGAGTTCGCAAAATATCGATGTCGTAGTTTTAACTTTAATGACAATAGATTTGAAAATACGCTATTCGTAAAAAATCGTTATTGAACTAGGTTTTTTAGCCCACCATCTCCGTATCTTTTAATTAAATTATATTTACAGTTTCTACCATAAGTAGAAATAGTTGATAATTTACCATGAAATATATTTTTTCATAGCAGTACTAAAATATATTGGAATTGCGCTTGATGTAAAACTTATATTACCCACATAATACCTTCTGTCTCGATTCTAAAACATTTGCTTTTCAATAATCAATGTAAAGGTAGCAACTCCGCCCACTTGAAAGGGGCGAGTTTGAATTAAACTATAGCAGAGTTTTTTTTATTATCTTCCATTTCTAATTGACAGCACGTGTAGCGTTTCCGCTGAGCCACGTGGCATATTGAATTATTAAAATATTCGTTCCACGCCAAAGATATGATATAAGTGGAATATGCTAACAAAACCACAGGAACTACTTGACATGTGTATAGGCAATAGTGATGCACTCGCGTGGCCTTCGATTAGCCTTTGTTGAGACATTAATTTATTCTATCTCGATATTTAGTCTGAAAAATTTTTTTCTATTCAGCAAAATACTAACTATCGACATTTGTATAATATCTATGTATTGTATGAGTGTGTGATACATATATCACTTAAGAGAAGTAATAAAAAAAAGTAGTTTACCAAACAGACAACAGACTGTGTTGCAAGTATGTACTTGACTTGCATCATTGCCTAACACAGTCTGTTAGGTAAATTTATTTAAAATTACTGAGAGACTGACTGCACGTTGTCGCAGCCGAAACTACAGAGCGTAGAAAGTTCAAATTTGGAATGAAGATTCCTTAGGAAGTGTAGAAGTGCACTAAGAGTGGATTTTAGAAAATTATTCTCCGAAGGACCTAAATTAGGGGATGAAAGTTTGTATCAAAGTTCTTTACTACAAGTGCTAGGAGTTTAAAATTTTGCATGCGGGTTCTTTTTAGGACATAGGTGCTTACTTAGATCAGATTTTACGAAATTCGATCCCTAAGCAGGTAAAATAGGAGATGGTAACTTTTATGAAACTTTGTTACTACGGGTTCTTTTTAGGACGTCGGTACTCCTTAGATGGGATTTTACGAAATTCGAACCCTAAGTTTTTATAGAATTTTCTCATTTCTGAACTTAAAACAAGACCACCAAGGCGAAGTCGCGGGCAAAAGCTAATTTAGTTAAAAAGTTTATATCTCAAGTTATTTAATGTTAACCCAACAAATCGCTATGCCATTCTCCCTATTAGATTCCATCCATAAGGGTAAGGACATTAATAGGCTGGTGATAATGAACACAATTTGTTACGACTAGCCAGCAGGCCAGTGAAATATTTTTAGAAGTCTATTTTTTTGTTGACATGTTATTCTCCTTTTTTCTTTGGTCTTTGTTCTGTCTGCCATGTCATGTAAGTTAGCTGCGTATTTTAGTTTGTGTATATTTTAATTATCTTTATTATATTATTTTCTTGACTTTGAGCCCTTTCTTTTCTTACAACTCCTATCACTAATACCTATCTGTTATACAATTATTATAAATTTCTGCTCGTTATTGTAATAGCAACAGACATGCTGATAAAGATTCCTGTGCTCCACTATTTTATTGATAAAGTAATCAATGAAATAGTGTATTTGTGTTATACTCATTAAGTGATATAATTTTATTGATTGTTGCAATACTATAATATTGTAAATATCAAAGAACTTAGGACCTTGGAAAAAAATAGTTTTGAAATCAATAAAATATTTCGTACTTGATATGTGAATTCATATTAGAGAAATTTACACACGGATGTTGTTCATTTCAGACATTTATAGTGGAGGTATGCCTAAGACTGAAACAAGTGGAGGAAAATATTCAGAAAGAATGTAATTCTTCGAGGGAGTCTCGAAACTCAAGAATGAGATGTACAACGTAAAGAGAGAGATTTTGCCTAAGAAAAGCTTAGATACTGTTTGATAATACTCAATGCTATGCACAATATAAAAATTGTTATTAAATTCCAGGCTTATCTTACAGACAGTCAGTTGACCGTCATTACTGACCAACTAACTGCAATGACAATGTTTTGGAATTGGTTTTTCAACAGCGCATCTTCAAAAAGCCCATCTTATGTATTTAGTTGTTTAATTGCCTTAGTTTAACAATTATTCCGCCTTAGTTTAACAACAATTAATTATTCCGAGTGTGTTAAACTGAAGGATTATTTATTTATTTAATCGTTAAGTAACTTGATTCAACGTGCACTTTCATCAGCAGCTTCCTCATAGTCAACTCCACTTCATAAACACATTGGAGTCCTCCAAAAATAGCCGAAATATACACTCCAGATGTTATCCTGGTGGTTTTTTCAAACAAACAAAAACTGTCGCGTACCGAACGTGGGAACTGGGTGAGAAAAAAACTCTGGAAAAGAATGCACATGTTGCAAGCGTTGGAAAAATGACCGAACATGCACGTGTCACAACAGGAAGAAACTTAGCTTGCATTTTTTTTCACTTCCAATATAAGAACGCGTGCCATGATAAACGGACTGTGAAATAGACATGTTTTTATAATCGAAAGTTTATTTATACATTTATTAGCGCACTTTGTTCTACACGACGACTAAAAAGTTCTGCTTGGTGCGCACAGGGGACTTATGAATGATGATCCTAGCTATTAACTATACATAATGGTATTTAACCAAGCAACTAATAATAGTGTCTGTGTTAATGTGTCTTGTAGGTTGTAGATATAATCGCCGCAAATTGTTAATGCACCTAATCGCCATTTTGATGACGTAATTGCTTTCAGCAATCAGTACTGTTAACATAAAAACACACTTATTGGGTTGGGATGTGTTGAGGTCACACATAATTTTTGTCATGATTTGGTTGGTTCCGATTGTTATTGTTAAGTTTTATTGTTGTTTGGTATGGTTGACTAAAATAGCAACTGCTATTATGATTTTGACAATAAGTAAACATAATTTCACTAATTATAATTATAACTAATGTCGCTCATTTAATTATTAGTTTTGATTAGGTGTCTAAATAAATGTCATTACCGTTTGTTGTCGCGTTATCTATACTAATATTATAAAGCTGAAGAGTTTGTTTGTTTGTTTGTTTGTTTGAACGCGCTAATCTCAGGAATTACTGGTTCGATTTAAAAAATATTTTTGTGTTGAATAGACCATTTGTGAAAAAATAATGAAAAACGCGGACGAAGTCGCTGGCGGCCACTAGTTACAAAGTAAATGTAATTTATTCATATTTTTTTCTTATTTTCCATTTGTGACGGGTTCGATGCTTGGGCGTATTAATGAAACTTATGATAAATATGTAAAGGGTAAAAAAACCCTTACTGGGTTTGCCTTGATACGTAAACTTGGACGATATTTCAAGATATAATTTTATTTTAAATAATTTCTATTTTAATCATAATAACTTCAATATATTAAAATATTATAATATTAAAATATTATGATATTGAATATTTAAATTTATACGATTTACAATAACATGTTCACAACAGAAGATTTTTTTACGAACTGACATTAATAAAGAGCATATTTGATTAGTCAAAATTTCAAATTACGAAAGGTGAATAATAAAAAGAAATGATGTTGAACTATGTTCTGCGATGTTAAATATCAAAGACAAAAAGGTTACATGGTGCTACGACACACCGTTACACATTTACTCAATATTTACATATAAATTAATGATTTTTTTTTTCCAAAAATTCATACGTGCGTTGCCAAATAAAAATCCTATTCTATTCTATACAGTAAATTAACAAAGCAAAATTTATTCTTAATGAAAAATGCTTATATTGATCCACTCTATCCACGGCACTCTGAAATGGGAAACATTTTTCATTAAGAATGTTTTCCAGTATAGCATTGTGATTGCAAAATTGTTCAAATATAATAAACAAAATTTATTAAATTATTATAACAATATTTTGGGTATTATAGAATAGAACAGCACAGAACAAAACAGAACAGAATAGAATAAACAAAATTTATTAAATTACTATAACAATATTTTGGGTATTATTCATAAAGATTTCAATAATTCATTTATATCTTGTTCTACCTATTCTTTCTATGTTATTTAGACAAGGTTCCAGCGCATTAGTAATTTACGGGTCTTATAATTAGCAATAGTTAAACACCGAACACTTGTTGAGAATAAAGAAACTTCATCATAAGCGGGTGATAAAGGCTATAATTTACGTGGGTGAAGTCGCGGGATGACTGCTAGAATAATACATTGGTAAATATTTTTTTATTAATCAAGCTTTTGCGGGCGGCATTATCGATATTACTCAAACGAAACTCGATGCTTACTTTTGTGCGAAGTAGTTTTTCGTCTAGGTATCTGCCAGTTGCACAAAAGTTCATTAAAATGTTCATTAGTTTAAAGTGACATTACCCAACAAATTTGACATTCATTAGTGCTTAAAGGCGTCATTAACCTTAATGGACGTTTGTGAAACTGACGGTGTATCTTATGAACCGTGAAAGTTCGATAGCTGAAATTAGCTAGATTGATGATTTATTTCTGCTGCCGCTATAATAATAAATACCTACTAATAAGAATAATATAAATATTTAAGACTGGCTCCCATACAACAAACGTGACTTTTTGCGTTTTTATATAGATTATGACACGGAACCCCTCATGCGCAAGCCTTACTCTCAACTTTATTGGGGATTATTTACAAATACAAAATCCATACATGCGACAACATTCGAAGATAATATAATAAATATGTGATAAACACGATCCAAGCCAGAATTGGGTAGATAAATTATGATAAAAACTGAGAGCTCTTATAAAACCCCGAAAACAAACAAATCTAATGATTAGATCGAATCGCAGAATTGGTTTAGTAAATGGGCAAAAAAATAATATCTATACTTTGATGAAAATCTTATATAAATAATTAAGTCATGATTAAACAACTAATAAAATTGTTATACTTTTGCAATCTGTTTCTTTTTAATATCATACGATTAATTATTATTTAACCGTTTTATTGAGTTTTGCTAAATATAGAAAAATTGCTTCTCGTTTTCTTGAACTTATTTTGAATTTGATAAAGCTACTAGTTTTATTTAGGGAAATGGTATGCATTGTTTGATAAGATTTATAATTTTAACATTTACTTGCGATAAATACATATGTACCTACAACATGTAGAGTCGGCCTCTCATCATACTCAACCTCAAAGCAGTGTACTTATCCAAATAATTAACACATTTTTAATTAAAACACATTTATTTAATATCTGTACAAAATAAAATATATATTCCTAAAAAATAATAGTTTAATTTATCCATCTTAAAAATACCATTTTTATTTACATACTTATTATCATTTGTATAGTCAACAGCTCGTAAAAGTTATACAAAACTGTCCTATCTAATTTTAAAGTTTAATACTTTGCTGGCAGAGTTTAAAATTGACTGTGTAAAATTTTACATTTGTTAGTGACCTGATGTGCACTTGGTTAAATGAGTCACAAAGAAGGAACAATACATACGATTCATTTTTGACACCAATTTATATCACATTTTGTTGATGATTGAAATATCTAACTGTAATAATTTTGTAATAATGATCAAATTAAGTCAAGTGAGAACCTAATAAATAACGCTATCAGATCATTTAAATCGTCAAGTGATCGTGATTAAAATTTATAGATTCATAATATTCGCGCTGTAGATAAACAAACACAATCATGGACTTTATCCACAAGTAAAACGTAAAGACTAATACTTATGAACTTTGTATATCAATATCAAATGTTACATACAAAACGATTTCATGAAATGCTTTTTATGTATCTGAATATCCAATCCCTTTTATTAAGTTACACCACTGATTCATGAACTTCAAGTTCAAACTGGTGATTTGTTAGTTTCTTCTTTTGTCGTGACTTCTTTGAAATTCTCTTTTTTACCGTATCTGAAGTACTCCTCTATTTGTAACAAAGTTTTACCTTTAGTTTCAGGAAGATAGAAGTACAAAAACACTGTTCCAAACAAAGTCGATAAACCATAAAATAAATAAGTACCATGGTGCCCCATACTTTCAAACATGTAAGGAGCTGTTTTTATTGTAACGAAAAATGCAATAGAAGTCATCATGACACTTATACCTGAACCCAAGCCCTTAGTTTCAGTGGCAAATAATTCTCCAACCATATTCCAAGGTAAAGGTGCAATCCCCATGTTCGATACAATAATGTATAGCGTCATTAATCCTAACGATACAATTGGTGACATGTGTCTTATAACACGCGTCTCTACAAAATACAAATAAAGAGCCAATGTCAACAAGGATATAGCTGTAGAAATTCCACTAAACATTGCTAAAGGTCGACGACCTAATTTTTTAAGTATAATGCACGCGAATACTAATGACACGCATCTTATGACATCAACAGTCAACATGGCTGCATAAGTGTGAGATTTACTAGAGTGTTTACCGATCAATTTCTTCATCATATCAGTTGTATATGCGCAAATCACATTGATTCCCGACAGTTGTGTGATAACGAAAAACGTCATCATTATAAACAGTGGCTTCCAGAACTCCGGTTTCTTTATATTTATTGCTAATGCTTCCAATTTACCTTGACTCTGATCTTTCTTTGTTTGTTCGAAAATCATTTTTTCCAATTCTGTTTTCATTTCCAAGCTAACACCCCTGTACCATTGAAAAGATTTTATGCATTCATCGATGCGATTTTTAGAAGCGAGCCAAGATGGTGATTCTGGTGCATAATATATTATAGCGAATCCAATCATGGAAAACGATCCGCATAAAAGAGCTGCTATATTCCATCGTAGAAAAGTCCCAAACAAATGTGACATAAAAACACCTCCAGCAATAGCCAAAGATAATGCAGCAAGAAACAGACCTCTGTGTCTCGGTGAACTTATTTCACCAACAAATACAGGACCAAGAGGGCCCAGCCAACCTTGTGAAAGTCCCGTTATGAACCTCCCAGCAAGTATCAAAGGCACCATGTTATTCGAAAATCCTATTGTTGCCCATCCGCACATAAAAGTTATACCCAAGTATAACTGTGATCTCCTTCTTCCATATCTTTCCATTAAATATCCTGAGATAATATTTCCAAATACTAAAGCAAACGATGACATTGAAGCTGAAAATAATGAAATATGTTACTAATTTTACTAAATGACGTATTAATATTACAAATCAAACGAGCAAATTTATATTACCTATCCAAGTTACCATTTCCAATGAGTATTTGTGTCTTCCTTTAGCATGCTGCAATTCGGGTATGAGAACTGCTGAAAAACCTGCCGTTGCTCCGGCACTTAGCGTTAACATAAATGTGCCAAAAGCTATGAGTGCCTGAAATAAAAGAATATACTTTTTAGTTAACATATTTGTTTAGTAGTAGCTCAGTGGCGTTGTGGACAGAGTAACTCGGTGGTTTAGTATATACGCCGAGGCACGTCAAGCCGTTGATCCCGGCTGCGTGTAAATCGTTAATACTCTCCAATTTGCATTGAATCAGCTTGAAGGGTTATGGCCAATACTCCTTAACCATACTCATGGAAGGCCTGAGCCAGTTATAACGTAAAAGGGCTTATGATGACGAATATTTGTTTGGATATTTTCATGAACTATCTAATATTTTACTATTTTCTGACTTGTGGACTAAATAGTTTTTTTTACAAAGGCATTATTTAAATACATACAAACTCATAACATAGTAAAAGTATATATTGTAAAGTTCAGATGTGCAACGCGTGTAACCCTATATTATCAAACAATAAACACAAAGCAATACAGATAATAGTATCGAACTAGTGTATCAAGTATTTAATTATGATATCTTTACTATAGGTTATGCTATTACCTAATGATTAATTAGATTTCACAATGTACAAAGTAACAAAGTTTTCTGTGTAAGTACTTCGCATTGGAATCATTATAAAAATACACGGCCCTGTTAATTCAAATTTAAACTATGATAGAACTTAAAAGTTATTTTCCTTATTAACGGGGTTATCTTTAAAATTAGAAATGCGATTTTTCAAACTTTGATGTGAAGCTTTTTGACCCCTTCCTAATAATATATATCAAAAATATGCACTCATAATTATATAAAACAATTTTTTTTGCTGTAATATACACGAGCTTTCAAATTTAATATTTATATAAAGTCATGGCAGGCAATCTGTATATCAAATATATATACTTATAATATTAAGAAGAAAGATTTCATTGTTTGTTTTTCTTATTCAAGTTTCGAAACTTCTGATCCTATTTTAAAAACATTTTAACCTTCAGAAAGCTACATCATAGACGGATGACATAGAGTATAATTTACGCGGGCAAAGTCGCGGAAACACAACTAGTATTAGATAAAAACATCAATACGTAGGACAGCAAAGCAAAAATAAAAATATGTCTTGTCAATGGAAACTTTTAATCAATAAAATATTGTTTATAATAGGAATGTTTCAGTTAACCTCATGATGGGAACATTATTTTTATATTACGTTATTGTCTGATAAAAAAATATTGGTCACAAATATTAGACAGCGCGGGTATTAATCGACAAACATAAAGATTTTCATTGAATTCAGAAATTGTGAGATAAAAATGTATATTTTTTTACTTTTTTTAAGTTTATGAGCTACTTCTATATTTTGGCTAAGTTTCAGTTGGCCGGGCTTATAAACTAGACTTCTTACTGCTTCTATGAATAACAATTTTTTTTCTTCTTTATTCCCAATGAATTAATTATCAATCACTGGTTCACTATGTGGTTCAAGTTTATGTAAATTTTTACCTCAAAACAATATTTTCAAAACTTTGTTCAAAATGATGTTTTCGACAACATTTTAAACTTGTGTTTTATTTCCTGTGTCACCGTTGTAATCAAGATAATCATAAAAATATTAGTGCTCACGCGCTCTTTTTTCCGTTGTAATAACAAATTTATTATATTTTAGCAATCACCAGTTCTTTGTGTTAGGTTTCTTAAATCATAATCTAAATTGAAATGGTTTCATTATTATTATATCAAATAGCAATTTGCTGGTCAAATTCCCACTGAAGTATATCTTGCATAAACTAGTAGATTAGTGTCACTACGTTATCTGTTGCTATATAGTTGAATTTGACAGTCGAAGGTGACAAAAAGTAATATAAAGATTCCCTTATCAAAAAATATTTTTAATGCAAACATTTACATGTAGATTTTTAAATATACATTATTACCTACTTCTAGAGATCCCTAACTAAAGATCTCACCCTTACCTTTGATCAGTAGCGGCGGTATCTACAATGTCTGTTAATTAAAACCTTGAAAATGATAAACGCATTCATAAAGAGCGTGTATTATTTATAAAGTAGTGATAACAATATTTACTTTTAACGGTCGTGTTGCCGTTAACTGTGTCTCAATTCCAAAATTTATTAATATAATTACTATACCGACACTAGTCATAGTAACATTCTAAACTTTAAATCTGTCTATCAATTGTCCACGCGATACAATTCTATATAAAGATAGTTATATCTGGAGAAATACCTATACTTGAGGTAGAATAAGGATGCAATAATTAAACCATCTTTTTCATTGGATCACTTTGGTTTCTGGAAAACGTTATCTTTTAAAAGCTACCGTTGTGTCCAAATATACTTGTAGCTTCAGAGCCTATAGCTGACAGAATCCCTTATTACTACTACTAAACAGACGACGGAGATTACCTAAGCTCTGAGTACACGGGACTGAGGTAACGGAAATACGAAATTTTGACGAAATTTTAAAATAATTTAACAAGACTACTTTTCTGAAATTCCTAATTGAATTCATTAAGTCATCCTCCACATTAATCTTAGTCAATCGATATCCTGATTAGAAACTTATTGACGTTTATTTAATGGGACACAAGACTTACAACACACGACTTATTATCAATTTCCGATGGTTAACAGACTAGTGTACCTCCGATAAAGGGATTCCTCCAATAATGTAATAATCAAATCTTTTGTTGAAGAAGAAATCACATTGAGTTAAGTAATTAGATAATCGAGACTGTAAACCATAATATTATTTGCTTGAATAATGTGATGTTCGTGATCTCATTTATTATAATCTCGGTTGATTTCGCTTTTATACAAATAACTTACAAATTGTGATCATATATATTCGTTTTATGTTTTCGTTTTCGTTTCCGAAATTTAATATAAAGCTAATACAATCTTAAGAAAACTTTTAGAAATAGAAATAATGGCAGATGCATACATTTATGTTAAAATTATGTATTGTTATATCTTTGATATTATTATAACACCGTTGGCCACGAAACTTTCAAAAAATATAACTATTGTACGGTTACAAGTATAGTACAATATGACAAATTTTGCATACGAGATTAAAGTTCCGTCAAAAATCTAATGTTGGGTCTACATAGATAAAGTTTCTAACTTTGTTTGTTTGTAAAGGATAATCTTTGGAAATACTGATCTGATCATGAAAATTCTTTCGCCTATGGAAAGCTACATCATACGCAAATCACAAAGACTATAATTTGCGCGGACAAAGCGGAGTTTTGCACGCGATAAACACCTAGTTTAGTTATTATAATATTTTATTCGATAGTAAATTTTATATATCTTATAGTATAATTTTGCTCACAAACAAAGGCTAATCAATTAACCCTTTAATTAAGGTTTCACATCTATGAAAATATTAAATATCTATCTAAATACTATACTATATCCTTATTTTAATTTTTCAATAAATCATATTATACTACTATTTAATATGTTACAATCTGTCAATCTAAACGCGATTAAGTTGAAAAAGACTCCACAAAAAAAATTGGAAAAATTGATTGAAGAATGAAGATTATAAAAATGCTAGCTGTGACCTTACTTACATGAAAAACGTAAACTAAAGCAAAAACGTTGTTACCACACTTACGACATATACGCGGACAGAAGAATATGAGATTTGTCACTTTTGCTTGTCAAAAATCAATAATGTTCAAATGTTATAATTTAGATGATTCAAAATTTTGGGGACGAGGTTATGAATACACTTATTATGCTCTTTAATAGGTGTCTAGATGAATACAAAGTACCGGAAAAATGGGAAAATGCTATGGTCATTTTATTATTCAAAAATGGGAAAAAATCATGAATAACTATATGCCCATTAATGTATTTTTACAACTGTATGATTTTTTTACAAAACTTATCTGTAAATTAAAAACAAAACTGTGTATTAAAATTATTTTGACACCTAATTGTATTACTTCTTTAATATTTAACATTTCAAACGTTAATTTTGTAACAAACAATTTAGCGAGCTTAAAATTGATACTAATATTGTTATAAGTTTCCTGCTTATTTTATTTTTATTAATTATTATAGTCGCTATAATTCTACTATGATTATAAAAATTAAAAAGCAATAATAACATATTTTTATTTGTATAAGATATATTTTGAGATAAATTAAATACTTTTAGTTCCGGTTTAAAACAATATGGAAAACACTTTTAATTTAAAAAATAAAATGATAAGACATGACAAATCACTAATACCTGTCTACGAAACACGATCCGCGCAGATATTTTTTCCGAGCAGCAATCGTGTTTTGTTTCACTAATGCCATTCTCCTCCGGTCCAATTTTGACGATCCTTTCCAACTCGGGCACTTTTTCGTGGTCCATCATATGAGGTCGAGGCAACACTGCATCGTTTACTACCAAACGTTGGTTATATGAACTTGACTATTGCATATTATCTTATCATACGCTCAACAGCACATCAAGTTACTATTAAATATGAAATATCTACAATCTATTATGAACTCAACAGTTGATGTGTTAAGGTTTAATATCTTACTGTTACAAAACGCTGTCACTCTCGTCCAGCGACATATTAATTTACTCACAAGTGTTATATGAGCTACTAGTTTATGTGATCAAAGATTTTTAATGAATGATGAAAATTTAAAAAATTTGACCGGTTCCATAACCGGTTATTACCGGTTGAGTATACTATTACAGGAAATAAAAGTTTCTTGTTTTATATGTATTTACGTTTTTCGCTTTTCGACTTTTAACAGAGTTAATTAATTACGCTAATTTGTTGAATTTTTTAATCATACCGTCACCAATTTTTTATATCGACCCTTAAATTCATATGATTATCGACTTATTTTGTTTGTTGTTATACTGAGTAAATATTTAAAACTCATTTACTGATGGTAGTCAATTATATTTATGATTCTTAGACTTTGATCACTACAAGGAGGTTCACCACGTCCAATAGAAAAAAAATGAACTTATTTCACAATATAAATATATTCTTACAATATTAGTCATATCATGAATATTCTAAATACACTCACAGGCACAATTAACCGCCCACATTCTATTCGTTTCAATTCGCAGAAATCGCCAAACTTATACCATATTTTATGAAAGGAATGTCAAAAACTAAGCTCAAAGAAAGAGAAACAACAAAAATATAAAAAAATATATATTAAAGGATACTCATCAAAAATCTTTTTTTTTAAATATTCAATGAAATTTTTAAAATTTTGTATTAGAAAATAATGGGTTAATTAATAGAAAAGTTGTCACCAATAAACGGAGCGAAAGGTATGACATGGACTTGAAGAACTTCTTCCACGTATCTTTGAGCGTTTACACTTCCTCATAAGACATACCTCCTCATGCCATTATGGACTCTCTCTGGTAACCTACTGTTTCAGTTATAGCGCATGGAGCAAACCTCTCATTTTGAAACCTGTAGACACGCTGACGTCGATCTGGATCTCTTAAGGCTATTCTGCTCTCATCTGAGAACAGTACGTTCTTCCATTCCTCTACAGTCCCGTCATCATATTCTCGCGCAAAACCAAGTCTAGCGTGGGTGTAATTGCGGAGCGCGAGCTGCACGAAAAGCCCTCAAATCACTTTCTGCTAGTTTTCTTCTAATAGTACGTTTACTGATATTTCTCACCTCGAAAACACATTGGTGACAACGAAACCGTCATCTCGTGTCGAAGTGCATCGATGTTGGCCTTGACCTAGCCTGTAAGTGTATAAGCCTGTCTCCTGAAGTCATCTGATGGCATCTCATACCGTAGTTCGAGGTACACAGAGTGTGCGAGCGATGCGATGCTGAATATACCCCGCATCAACTAAAGCCACTGCCCTAGCTACATCAGTTGCATCGACTGGCATTTTTTCGCAATCATAAACAGTGAGCAAACACGAAATGATAGAATTTGATAGAAAATAAATACCCAATTAACAAAAAACAAAACATAAGCCATAGTTTACGGAACTAAACAGGATGATTAATGATACAGGTGGGCGGTTAATTGTGCCTGTGAGTGTATTATAATATCGTCTTACAAATCGTAAAGTAGCCAAAATATATTCATTTAGAGTTAATTTAAGTTTAGCATGTTTAATTTTTGTTCACTCGCTAATATTCGAAAATAATTTATTTTGGCTTATGATGACTTGATGGTATTTTTCTTTATAGGAAAACATTTAATGTGATAGAAGAAAGCCTATATATTGACCCAGGCCGATAATTATATGTATACCAAATTTCATCAAAACCCGTTCAGTAGTCTTAGCGTAAAGAAGTAACAAACATCCATACCTACAAACTTTCGCCTTTATAATATTAGTTAGAACTAAGATACGCTATTTTATATTAATATCGTGGAAGCTCTATCCTAAACAAACTCTAAGTTAAGATCCGCCGACATACTATAGTCAACACCAGAATATACTTCAGTAGCGTTACCATGAGTTTACAACGACCGTACTCGCTAGCGACTGCGTAAATGATTTGTATGGAGAACTGTACAGCGCTCCTAGCGGTCACTTGTGAAACTAAAGATTGCTAGTATGAGTCCTATAGTAAATTTACCTATCGAAAGCCAATCGCTAGCGACTAACGTTTTTTACGTTTTGTAGCTTATCCCATAGAATATCGGTACCATGAGTTACAAATTTGACAAACGTCATCGAGAAATACCGTAGCGACTGTAGTTAACTCTCTCACTTGCAAAACGTAGCGTGAAAACTTATTACTCTTGTTAGAGTATTGTTTCATAGATTATTTTCAGTTATTATTGACCCAAATAATGTCAACTAGGCATTATCTTGCGTGGAATATGTTGTCATAAGCTGCATATGAAGACAAACGACGAGAATAGAGAAAATTTGAAGCGGATATGAGAAATATCGGCAAAAATATCTAGCTCGGTGGCGTAGAGGATAAGCGCCGCGGCCCGCGATCTTTGTTGTTAAGCAACTTTCGTAAGGATCGGTCACGGGATGGGTGACCAAAAAATTATTATCTCGAGCTACTTCGTGCTTCGGAAGGCACTGATGTAAGAGGGCTGGTGATGTTGTATGAGAAATATTAGTGAGAATAATTTTATCAAATAATATAGGCTTAATAAGGAGTGTTTTGGTTTACTAAGGTCACCATTTCTGTTAAAACATTAAAAAGGGATACGTGATACGGATAACAACAAAAATAAATAAATGAATATAACGGGGTTAGATCTGATAGCATTGGATTAGGTTGTATATTCTTACTATATTTCAAAAATTTCATAAACTGCGTCTATTTTTAAAATTTTATGTTCGATAAATTGCAACAAACAATGTATTATATTATTAAAGTCCCGCTAAAATTTACCTTAATCAAATAAAGAGCACTCAGCATTCCTTAACTTTATCTGAACACTTAAACAAATATTTCATCTAAAAAAACTGGAGGGCTACATTTTACTGTACAAAGTATGTATTGAGAAATGTATTGAAGTACATTCCTTTCCATATATTCAACCAATAACTGTATTTGTCATACACTAGTCCGCATTTAATGTTTAGGTATTATGCACAATTTACCAAAACAACCGCCAGTCAAGAAACAGTAATACTCAATGATTTGTCACAACACGGAAATAACCGAATAAATTCAATAATCAGTTACACTTCTCGTTATGAGAATGATCAGTGACGCTTAAAATTAGTAGGGTTTTATCTACTTTTTAAATTTGAAGATCTAAATAGCCGGATTTTTGTCCAAAGTCATCCTTTCTCACTCTATTTAGCATAATTAGAACGAGACAGTTTCATTTGGAGTGAAGTTAGGCGCAATACACGGTCACGTAACAAAAACTATTCGAATGTTCGAGTTAACGTTAGCGAGTATAGTAAATGTAAATGTGACTCATGGTACAACTTCTATCGAATACTATTCGAAGTGCGTTTATTCGCTATCGACTGCGGTAAAGTAATGAGAATTTACGATAGCAACTCATGGTAGCGCTACAGACATTTTGACCTAAACCGCTTGTCTGGCAATATCCCTCCATTTCTGTTGGTTCGCTCCGCTGTTGATTACAATACCTAAATTTGTTATTTTTATATAATATTAATGGACCCGGTGAACTTTGTTTGCCAATGAATGTTCAGATTTTTGAATTTGAAAGTTAATTATTTAAAATAAACCATAGATATACACTCGGTTTCTGATTTCAATTTCTTGATAGCAGATTGATAAAAACCTTAGGACTTTTTGACTTATGAGACGTAAAAACGTAAAGTTAGTGGTACTTTTCTCAATTCAGAAAACTGGCCGATTGACAACGTTACGTGAACTGTCAATTGCCTTTTGTTAAAACAAATATCATATTTTAATATTTATCATCCTATCCCGACAAATATAAATCCAAAAACACAAACATTATAAATATCGATCGAGCCGCTTTCGAGTTATAAATTATTTTAATCTTATCTATTGCCGTATAAACTTTGAGAAATTTAATGCAGGCAAACAAGGTTTTCCTAAAAGTACCAATCATTTTCTCATTTACCTTATATATATTTAAACAGTAAAATTGACAATATTGTTTAAATCATCTAAACTAATCAAACTCTATTTATGCACTCACAATATTCATGTAAAATAATAATAATAATTATATTTACTCAAAATAATCTTGACATGAAAGAAAAATCAACCTTAGTTCCCGTCATTAAATATTAATTAATTTGTAACTAATTAATAACATGATGCGTACATAGTAACCGATAGTTTCGTTCACTGTTGATGTTTGTCATATACCACTATGAACGTCGTCGCGGCAAATAACATAACAATGGATAATACTAATAAATTACGTTATATCTTATACAAACTTGTACTAACGATTCTTGTTTAAAATTTTATATAATCTGAATATCGGAATATCGGGATTTCGGGGGTAATAATCTGAATTTTTCATTTTTAGAAAACCAAAAAACATACAGAGCAAATACTCATTCATCCGGATACGGTTGGTATAATATTGTTAATTTTTTACCATTGTCTCACAAAACTCATGAAGGTGCTCGTAAATGGACAAAATATTAAGATTATTCTGATATTAAATAATAATCGCGAACTTTCTTTTCATTCTTCGGTTACTCTATATTGTTATCATTTGTTTTAACTGACTTTCTTATTTAGCGTTCCGTAGTAAACAAGGCACTGTTCCGCAGTTTAGTTTAAAAACTATTGGTACTAGAAAATTGAAATTTGGCCTGAGTATACACGTTAATTATGCCGACAAAGTGGTAAAGTAAAATTTCGAAACTAATAGTTTTTAGGCTACCTCCCTATATGTAAAGTGGAGATGATAATTGATTTTTCGTATTTCCCATAGTGTGGTGTATTTTTAAAAATAGGACGTTGGGTAGGTCTTTTAAAAACATTGGGGGTGTAGGAAGGCCATTTTCGATTTGTTAAACCGTTTGTGACTTAGAACCAATTTTCATTAGAGTCAGTAAGACTTTCTGTAGGTTTTATAATTCCGCAA